TGACACAGGTCATGTCAGCAAATATGGAAAAAATAAAATAAAATAAGTGAATAGGCAGGGAGCCAACACGGGCACTCGTGTTGCATGACACGGGCCGTGTTGGCCTGGACGCTAATTTTCCCGCTTTTTGTGGTTCTCAACTGGATATTGACCCGGAGGGTATTTTTGGCATTTTCACCTACTGTTATTTGATTTTTCGCTATTTAGAAGAGTTTTTGGAAAGGGAAGAAAAACTTTTGACAAAAGAGAATTATACGATCAAAGGATAGGAGAACTCAAGTTTTTCGGAAGACGAAGGGTTTTCAGGAGCGGAAGCGATTGAAAATTCGAGCTTCCTCAATTTCTTATAATGTCTCTATTTTACATTGTATTTTCTTTGAACAATATGAGTAGCTAAACTCCCTAATGATAGCGGGTGTCCTTGATTTGAATCTGTAATGACTCTGATAGTAGCGTTGCAATAACAATCTCTTTATTTTCTATAATTGATTTGATCTCTAACTATTCTTAATGCTTGCCCTGTCGGACAAATAGGATTTGATTTTCGATTAACGATTAGGCTGGACCGCCGTTGTTAATGCTTTGCTTTGGATCATTTTATAGTAGATATCACCTAGGAATATGGATACCCTATAGAAACTGGAATATTCTTGATAATTGATTGCTTAATTTCATTTGTAATTCTCTATGGACATAGGAATTAGGGTGAATGATTAAAGGTTTTCTCACTAAGGATTTAGGAGTAACATTCTTAAGAATCAGTAATTATTAGTTACAATAAATGTTGCAGTGTTAATTCAGAGTTGTTACTGAGTCGGATCATACACCATCTCTAGCATAGTTTACTCATATATTTTTTAAAACCTCTCAATTACTTTCTTTATTTTATGTGCAATTGTTTTATAACTTCACCAAACAATCCAAAACTCCAAAACTTTTGTTTAGTTAAATTGAACTCAGAACTCTATATTTTCAAGCAGTCCTTGAGATCGACATTTGGGGACTTTATCGCTTATTACTACAGAGGCAAAATAGTACACTTGCTATTTTTGCGATCAGATACCTTTCAACAAATAAAGATTGAAAAATGGAGTTTTGGGGTGAACAATGAAAACAATTAGAACAAAGAGAGAAAGAAGAAAGGATAAATAAGAAAAGAAGGAGAAGGATTATGACAAATTGCTATATTATTCACTATCTCAATATTACAAAAGATTACAAGTGAATAACATAATTGACCTCACTCAACAACCTGAGTGATCTAATCTATTTATAGACTAACTAGATAACTTGCAACACAAGCTAAAACTAAACAATTGGATCCTTAACACAAGACTCAATTCGACATAATAAGTCAACAATATATCTCGACATTACATACTAGAAGTAGCTTCGACTACAGTATGTAACCCTTCGAAATAAGCATATGACATAACTTTGACTTCATACTTGTCTCCTGTCGAAACACGTGAAAGTTATTCCTCGACAGAATTAGAGTTCGATCCAAAATCTCACATTATTAGTAGGGTTTAGAGTGATTCCTCTTTTATTGACAATACACTTCTTGTTCTCATTCCAAAAATCAATTAACCGGTGTTTCTCATATATTTGTCCTACAAACCTTTGCAATATGATCTATAAGTTTGTTACTAAAATTGTATAGAATCGCGTGAAACATATGCTAAATAATATCATTTCGCCACACTAGTCTACCTTTATCTCAGAAAGGAATATTCATTATAATATTAGTATAGCCAAAAAGAATGTCCATGTGATGAAGAGAATGAAAATATAAAATATGTGTATGTCAATAAAGATTGATCTGAAAAAAGTTTATGAAAGATTGAACTGAAAGTTTGTCACCTAGTATCTTTAGGATTGTAAATTTCTCGAAGAATTAATTAATTTAATTTAGCATTGTATTTCTTCTTCTTCCTTTTAACTTTTGTTGAACAGAGATAAGCTTGATAATTTTTCTTCCTCTAGAGGTATCTGTCATGGTGATCCCTTTTCTCGTTATCTTTTTGTTATTTGTATGGATGATTTGATGTATATTATTGATGACCAAGTTGATGCAGGATTTTGAAAACCTATACGTGCAAGGCGTGAGAGACTTTTGGTTTCTCACCTCCTTTTTGCAAATGACCTTTTTCTTTTTGAAGATGCCACTATAGAGAAGGCTTATTACATCTAAGCATTGTTTGGATCAATTCAGAGAAAACTCAAATTTATTTCTTAAGAAATACAATTCTCAGCTTCGGTAGGAGATTATGCAACACACAAGTTTTAGAGAAACCTAGAGTTTGGACAAGTATATTTAGGCAAACATTACCCATTGTAGAAGTTCTACGTACATATTTCGACACATTAATGAATATGTGCAACGACGACCGAATGGTAGGAAGCATCAATTTTTGAGCTTGAGAAGAAGAATTACACTTTGTAAATCAGTGTTAAATTATATCTCGTACATTCATATGCAATGTGCTAAAATTCCCACCACTAATTATCATGAGTTCGAAAAATTACAAAGATATTTTATTTGGGGAGACACAAAAACGATCCGCAAGAGTGATCTCATCAGTAAAGAAGTTTGTTGTATGCCTAAGGATCACAATGACTTAGGCATTAAACAAACCCAGTTATTGAATGATGTTTTTCTATTTAAAATGGAGACAACAAAATGGTTAGGACTGATCATTTGTTTTCTGGTTGATGTATCACAATCAAATGTAACATCTTTGATGTTTATAAACTGTTTGATGAAATGTTTGATGAAATGACGGAGAGAATTTAAGAATTTATACAAATTTATAACCTCCGCAATCTAATTAATTTTTTTTAAATTGATTTTAAGTGACATAGTGTGGTGTTGGACAACATTCTTGAAAGGATACCTCCGTCTTCACTTTGTCAAATGACTGGTGTTTGTCATCCATTGAGGGGGAGATGTGTGAGTGATCACCTTCGGGAGAGACACATGAAACATAAATGCGGTAGAGTTATTGGTTCTGTTGCTATAGGGAGTGGAAATAGCACGTTGCTTCTAAAAAGAATGCTCGAAGCCTATGAGAATGAAGCTTGATGCACCATATATTAAGAGTGCTAAGAAGCATAACAGTTATTTGCCTCCTGATTCATTCATGACTTGGTATCTTGCTCTTGAGAATATAAAAAGTACTTTGTAATTTTTCCATAAATGAATTTTTGACATTAAAATTTTGATGTCAAATGCTCCATCATTTGGTTTTTATTTGTATTTTGAAATGCTTATACGTTGTAGGAAAAAAAAACGAAAGATAAACACATAAGGTATTGTTTTGATATTTGAATAATATTTTGATTTTCAATAGTATATATACAATAGATATTTTTTCTCTCAAAAGTTATATTTTTTTTTCTTCTGCATAATGGCCATGTTGGGTTTATGCTATGATGCTGAGGTTACATATGATTCACATACCGACACCTTCCAAGCAAGGTAACTAGACATGATTCTAAAACAAACTTATAAAGATTAAAATTGAATTTGAGTTATTAATAATGACAAAAAACACATTTAATCCGACTTAAAAAAATTTGTATGGTGATAGCTTTGCAAATACAAGTCTCTCCTTCCTTTATAATGTGTATTATAATGTGTATGTAACCACAGCCAATGCTTTTGTACTAGAATGTAGATATTGGCTCTCTAGTCGAGAGATTAAAATAATAGGTTGAACATTTCTAAGAAACTAAAAATATATGTTTTCCTTTTAAATATATATATATATATATATATATATATATATATATATATATATATATATATATATATATATATATATATATATATATATATTTAATAAAATATAAATAAATAATTTTTTAAAATAATTTTATGTGTATTCAATAAATTAAATATATAATATTTTTTTTATTAGCGTGTATTCAATAAATTAAACATATAATGTTTTCTTTGATTAGTATGACCCATAAATAAAGACCGATTGTTAATTACACCATATATGTTTTTTTAGGTATCTGTAAAATTTTGAAACTGTTTTCAATTTTCGGAGATAGATCTACAAATACATCTATATTTTATTCGTTTTTTAAAATTTAAATTTTATGAATAAATTTATTTCAAAAATATATTTTTTAGAAAATTTTCAAAAATATATCTCCAAATATATTTAATGTTAACTTTTTACATGCAGCATGCATCACCAACCTATGTTAACTAAATGACATTTTATTATTAATTACTTAATATTTATATTAATTTAATATAAAATAATAGTCTTACAACTATACTAATTAAAAAAATATATTGAATAAAATTAAGTACAATAACTTAATAAATAATTTTATATTGTAAATTTTTTAAATAAAAGTATATTAATTAAATATATTGTTATTTAGTTATTAAGTAATTGTATATTAAAAAAAATTATTTAGTTAAAATAATTTTATTTAAAATTAATATTTCATACAATTAACTTAATATGGTGTAATAAATTATTATAACTTAATATTTAAAATAATTTTACTTAAGTTATTGTATTCTTTTTTAGAAAGTAATTAAATATTAAGTAATTAATATAACTATTATTTCATATTAAAAGTTAACATAAATACTAACTAATTAATTAATACTAAGGAATTAATAATTTTTTATAACTATTATTTCATATTAAATAAGTACCAATTAATTAATAAAATGCAATTTAGCTAATATAAGATGATGCATGCTACATGTAAAAGGTTAATGTTAAATGTTTTCAGAAATATATTTAAAAAAAAATTAGAAATATATTTTTAAAATAAATCATTCTTAAATTCCATTTTATTCAAAAATGAATAAAATATATGTATTTCCAAATTATAAAACATTTTTGAAATTGTGAATAGTGTAAACATAAAATAGGAAATGGTCTAAATAAATTAGAGCACTTCTACCGTTATTTTCCTGAGTTTAGAGTTATTTTCCCCTCTCAAAACTAAAAACAGTCTGAGCAATGAGATTAAAAAGCGTCAGCGGTGGCCGCCGGCGTAGCATTACGCCTTCTGTTACTCCCTCCCCCTCTCTCATTCCTCTTCTCTCCACCGTCCAGGTACACTACTACCCTATCTCTTCCAACAACACCTCATTTTCTCTTTTCAATTTTAACCCCCTCACTCTCTCTAAACCCTTAACCAGGACAACCACAATGCAGCAACCGTCTACGACAGCAGCGACAGCACCGGCGATCACACGCACGCTCCACTTCCCGATTTCGTTCCCGATTCCGAACCAGCAGATTCCCTAGACGATGACATTTGCATTACTTGCAACCGAGCCGGGGGACCATTGCTAGTATGTACACAAACCGATTGCCCCGTTGTAGTCCACGTCAACTGCATCGGTTCCGAACCTAAGTTCGATGATTCTGGAAAATTCTTCTGTCCCTACTGCTCCTACAAGCGAGCGTTGAAGAGAACTAGAGAATTAAGAGAAAAAACGATTTTAGCGAAGAAAGCTCTTTCGAGCTTTTTGGAAAAAAGCCAAACAGTGCGTAAGGATAATGATGATGACGATGAAGAACACATTGCCGAACCAGAACCGGTTCAGGATCATCCGAACCGGGATGAACCGGATGTTTCTGATTCTGAGGAAAAACAAGAAGTAAATAGTAATGAAAATGATAAAGATAAAAGAAAGGTTTCTGTTTCAGGTAGTTCAGTCAGTGAAGCTAAAGATTCAGACTCTAATTCTGTCTCAGTGAAGAAAGGTCATGCCAATGCCATCGCCAAAGGCAAACGGAAGGTTGCTTATGTGAAAAAATCTTTGTTGCCGGAACGAAAAACTGCTGGTGGTGGTGGTGGTGGTGATGGCGGCGTGGATGAGGAGGAAGTTACCAGTTCCAGAACATTAAGCCTACAAAAGCAAGTGTGAGTCATTTGTCTCTCTTGTCGCAGGCCAATTACAATTGCAACATGAAGTGGATGAATAATTTGATTTGATAATGCTTATTTTCATTGATTTGTTCAAGTTTAGTTTGATATTTGATATTTTGATGGAGAGTTGATTTATCTTAAGGTATTGTTGGTTTGTGTAAGGGAGTTATTAATTTTTTATTGCAGGACAAAGCAGAATTTGATGACCGGAAAGCGTAGGAGATTGCTTTGGACAGATGAAGAAGAAAAGGCTCTCAAGGTTTAAGTTTTGTATAATGTCTTATCATTTTAGAATTGACTGCAATGCCTTATTGAGATCATGCTATAATTTAATACCTTCACTTCTGAGTTCTGACATGATTTTCTGTGGCTTACTGGTTTTATTATTTATGGCCAGAATAATGCCAGATATATATCTCTTTTTGTTCATCCCCTGTTTAGAATTTGTTCTGAACTGTGAAGTTGTAAAACAGATATGTGTAATGTTTACATTTGATCAAGAAATATATAGAACATTCATCTTTAACTATTATATCTGCACAAGGTCTTCATTTGTCAATTAGCGATGTTAATTTTGGTTTTTGCATTGCAGGAAGGAGTGTCGAAGTACTCAACTGAAAAGCAGAATATCCCTTGGAGGAAAATTTTAGAATTTGGTTGCCGTGTGTTTGATAAGACTCGGACTCCTGTTGATCTCAAAGATAAATGGAAAAACATCATCTCCAAGGAAGGTAAAATTACTAGATTGTAATCGATATTATAACTAGTGAATGTTTAGGATTATTGCGGAGTACCTTTTTTATGATTCCATATAAAGGATTTTGCAAAAATGAGAATAAAATTTCCCGACATTCGGTTATGCAATCATTGTTTGCATTTTGTTGGAGAAGAACATGCACATTTTTAGTCTGTGAGCTTGTTTTGACATTTGTCTGTGAACTTGTTATGAGGTCTTTATATGTAGCTTTTTGAAACAAGACCATTGTTAAAGAAATTGTAAGTTAGGAAGAATAGTATGAGAATTTAGGGATAATACAATCTACCTGTACAACTTTACCCTTACAGCTCCTAAGGAAGGGAAAGAAGTATAAGTGAGAGCTGCAGATGGTAGAGGAATGAAAAACTTGGGGAGAGAAAATGGGAGAGTAAGGAGCTCATGAATTTTCCCTGAGGCTGAGAATATTTTGATTACTTTTCATCCCTATGCTATCACTTGCGTACAACTAGTTGATTTTATGATTTTCTTTGGAGTTCAGTCATTTCTCAAGTGGGTTGTTCCCTCTCTACACCCTTGTTAAGACTTGAATTCTGGACCTCCAACTCCTTTTAACCTCTAACTCAACTGTTTCAAGTTAGTTGAATTGGCTAAAGTTTTTCCTCTTTATTGACTGAAAGAATCACTTTAACTGTTTTTAATGTTGAAACAGATTTTCTCATCTTTTTCTTTCTTACTACACGCACCTCGGTTTACAAGGCCATGAATGATAGAATTAAGATATTTTATATTCAACTATGCATGTGTCCACAAAATTTGGAGAACGGAGCAACAAGATTTTGATTTGGAGACTATGAACTTGTTTTAGATTATTTGAAATGATAACTGTTTTGTTACACAGGATGCAAGTAGAACTTGAGGAACCTGAGTTTCTTACCATTAACGGCTAACTGGGGTTTGATTACATATGGCAGAAGGTGGAGGAAGCATATGAGTTGCTTTAGAAAGTTGATGTCATATCCATGTTTTGAATTGAGTTCTATGTATAATTGCTTGCCTCTAGTAGAAATATGCAAGGTCATTATAATTTGCCTATGCTAGAATTCTTCAAAATATATATCTAATGTACAAAGAATAGTAAAAATGGGTATTCTAGGAACTAATATTGCTCGTCCAGAAAATTGAAAGTGGGGTCATTATAATTTCCACATTGAAAGTGTAAATTCTTTGGATTAAATTGTTTTTGGGAGCTTTGCACTGTCCTGCCCTTCTTTTGGTTAAAAATACCAAATTCTCATTTTTAAGTAAATATCAAAGTACCATATTAAAAAAAAAAAATCGATTGTATTATAGAGTAACCGCCTATCAAATGGCCGGCAGTGTACAAGAAAAAAAGTGTTGTCTATTGAATGGATGACACCTTTTTTCTACACACTTGTACACTACCACCCTTAGACAAAACCTACTTTATAATGAATTATTTTTTTGTTTGAAATGATGACATATATACTTTATAATGAATTATTTTTTTGTTTGAAATGATGACATATTGGTATATATGATTGAAAAATATGACATCATAGTTATTAATTAATAACATGACAATGTTGTAAAAAATTCTGATTTTGATTCTAAAAAAATTGTACCTTCGTGTCTAGTTTTAAAATTTGCCGTTTGTAGTCCTGTGTTTTTTTGGGATACGTAGGACATGGAAAATTCACAGATCATGGATAACAGTACATATAAAAATAGGTGGTCAAATTTACTAATTTTATTTAAATATCGAAAAAACTAATATTTTTTCCCTTAATTTAATTTTAACAAACGATTACTTTTTAACTTTTTATTCTCTTAATTAGCTTTAGGCAGCATTATAAAATGTTTGTCATTTTTTCTGAACAAATACGATAATTTTCAAAAACAAAAAATTTCATAATTATTTTGGGAAACTCAAAAAATAACTTAGATTTTGATTTTAAAAGACATAAAATTTCAGAAAAAATCATCATTTTAATTGTTTTTCTTATTAACCAACCTAACCATAAACTTCACAACATAAAATTTTGGCCATATTCATGTTAGATTTATCTAATTTTTTTATGGGTTACAATCAGTTGTTGTTTAGTTTATGAAAAACAGATTAATCATGATTTTGATGGGGTTGCATATATAAGCTTTGTTATTAGTTAAGTGATCTTTTTGTAACTAAAGGTTGAGTATCTGAAACCTAATTAGTGTGAATAAAAATGTGGGTTTTAACCTTGAGTTTGTAATGGATAGGGACTATAGTTATATATATTATATGGCTAGGTACTCTCCGTAATCACAAGAATAAAAAACATAACTGATGGCTCCACATTAAATATTTATGCTTACATTTGGTATCAGAGCTTAATTATATGAATTAGGACTTAATTATTGATAGCTAATATATAATTATGAATTAAGATTTCTAATTATTTTGATCTAATCTAGAAGAATTACGGTAATTAATTTTCAACAATTGCAATAGCTATATAATGTGTAATAGGATGATTAATTGAATCCAAATAACACAGATGCAATACTATCACTTATACGTGCAATTCTTATTCTTTTCTTACATGTGCAATTTTTTTCCTGAATCTTGTTTATACTCTTGATTCAATAATTATTTCATAAAGTAGAATTTTAAAATCTAATGAATGCAAATTGTCTAAAAAGTATTTGGAATCAATTAAGTTGTGTTGATTTGATATGTATTTATATAATGTCAATTAAGATTGTTATATTTTTATTGATTTTGAAATAATAAACTTAACAATCACATGACTTGAAGAGAGCGGTTCTATACTATATACTCTAACATTTTTGGATTTGAGGTAATTGTTTTCAAGTTCTCTAATATTTGCAAATGAATAATTAATAAATAATTATAAATTGGCCTTTGAATTGGAGAATTAATCAATGATTTCCTTCTTTCAATTTTTGACTGATAATGATTTGTTTTAACTTTTGATCGATCATAATTTGTGTCGAGTAAGGTATGATAATTGATTTTGATTTAATTGTATATTTAATCGAATCCAATTGTCGTAATCCTTTTTGTTGTAATTATTGCTTCATGATATTCTTGTTTTACAATGTCTAATGTCGAAACATTAACGGTCTGTATGTTATTTTCGATTACAAAATTGAATATTAAGTTGATATGCTTATAAATTTAAGAAATTGAATGTCATGTTAAAGAGATAATAATAATAATAATAATAATAATAATAATAATAATAATAATAATAATAATAATAATAATAATAATAATAATAATAATAATAATAATAATAATAATAATAATAATAATAATAATAATATGTGTTGTGAAAATATTGACTCTGTGTATAAACTATTCTTGAAGTTTATTTAGGATTGATATATTTAAATTACAATAATTTAAATTTTTCATCTCACTTGGATTCAATTATTAGACCATATTTTTTTATATACAGTTTATTATTATTATTATTATTATTATTATTATTATTATTATTATTATTATTATTATTATTATTATTATTATTATTATTATTATTATTATTATTATTATTATTATTATTATTATTATTATTATTATTATTATTATTATTATTATTATGCATTAAAATTATATTGTTTCAACAACTTTTAATTAGTTTGTTTCCTAAAGAAAATTGAAATTTTGTGATTTTAAATTTACAAGTAAAGAAACTCATTCATGATAGATACCATAAATGTAGGAATGGCTATTGTTGCTTAGAGAAGATTAGTTAAGATAATTATGGGGTTTCCTTGTAACTATTTATTATTATTAAGTAAAGAAACTCATTCATGATAGATACCATAAATGTAGGAATGGCTATTGTTGCTTAGAGAAGATTAGTTAAGATAATTATGGGGTTTCCTTGTAACTATTTATTATTATTGAGTCAATATTGTTCGGTTGGTTAATAAAAGTAAAAATGTGAAAATAGTCATAATATTTATTTTTAGTGAATATTGTATTCTAATGCAACTAATCATAATATATTTGGTGTCTAATATGCTATTATTTGTCTTTAATATGTCATTGATTGATTAATGTATTTGTTGCTTTGATCGCTTAATAATATTGAATTTTTACACTGTGTAATATATTAATTAAAATAGAAATTGATTTGATTATAATATAATGATTTAGCTATACAATATTTTGAGATACTTAGTAATATTCCTTTTTATTGAAGTTAACACTGTTTGAAGATAAAATTTATCGGAAATGTTATATTGTTTAAGTTCATGACATGTTCATGATTTTTTTATTAAGAGAAATTTGATTCCTATGCAAGAGCTTCTATAAATAATTGTGTGTGATTACCACTAAAGTGAGAACATTCATTTTAATTTATAAAAGTTTCTTTGTAGTTTGAAAAATGATTTTAAGTCATTACTATGATTGTCTTCCCAAAGGTGAACAATTGTATGTAGAGATTGTGGTTGATTAAGGATATAGTTATTGGAGATGCTTGAGTCCAAGGGATTTAATTACCCAAAGGAGATAAATTTCTAAACTCAATGTATGTTCACTGAGTAACTTATTCTTGAACTTTGTATATGAAGTTGTTGAAGGTGTTTTGATTTAGAGATTTTATCTACCCAAAGAAGATAGATTTTTGAACCCAAGGTATGTTCATTGAGTAACTCATCTGAGGTTCTGACCTTGGTTGTAACCTGAGTTTTACGCATTCCACCCAAAGGGGACGGTGTGATAATGTTGGCCTCTTCGTGATAGCTTATGATCATTAAAGCTATATCTTGCCATTATTATTTGTTCGTAGACATTCCTATTTTGTCTCAACAGTGACCTTCTCTATGAACCATTGTTCGGCTTCTCTTGAGATCCTGAACGAGTCTAATTTTAAGAAATGGAAGAAACACTTAAACTTTTCATTAGGGATTGCTGACCTTGACATGACATTGTGTGAAACCAAACCTGTGATCAATTATCAGAGTACACCTGAAGAGAAAGAAATATTAGCTAAGTGGGAGAGGAGTGACCGACTTAGCTTGTGTGTTATGAAAAGGACAATTTTTGAACATCTGATAAGTGGATTGCCTAAGGAAGAAAATGCTAAAGAATATCTTACTACTACTGGAGAGAGGTTTCAGGTATCTGATAATGGTGAATCTGGATGTCTAATAAAACAACCCACGGCATGAAATATGATAACAATGGGGGTGTTAAGGAGTTCATTCTTAAGATGTTTCATGTACAAACTAAACTGAAATACCATGACATTGACCTGAATGAGAATTTTATTGTGTCTCATGACTTAAACTGCTTACCTGTTGAGTTCTCTCAAATCAAAACTGCTTATAATATATTTGGTGATAAGTGGGCTATCAATAACCTCACTACCAAGTGTGTAGCTGAAAAAGAGAAACTCAAGAAGGAAAGAAGTGATCTAGCCCTCCTAACTTTACATGCTAAATCCCATTCTGGTAAGAACTCTTGAAAAAATAAGAAAAATACTCGTAGTGCTTCTCATAGATATCCCGATAGAAAACCTGGTAGTGGTCAACACCATAATATAGGAGGTCCCAAGTCTGTTGCTTTTAAGAAATCCTTTTGGTGCTTTTGGTGTAAGGAAAAAGAGCATAAGAAAACTGATTGTCATGCTTTTAAAGTTTGGTTAGACAACAAGAACAAATATGGAGGGGTTTAGAAACCAACGGAGACCAAACTTTAGGGAAAGAAAACTCAGGGTAGGAAATGATCTCGAAGTCATTGTGGAGATAGTGTGAGATGTTGTTTTAGTTTTCTGAACTGGTTTTGAACTTGTTTTGAAAGATACATTTTATGTGTCTTCTTTTAGGAGGAATTTGATTTTAGTATCTTGTTTGGATAAGTTTGGATTTCAATTTATCTTTTATGATGGCAAAATAAATTCGATGTTGAATTCTCAAGTTGTTGGTAATAATATCTTATTAGATGGTTTATATAAGTTATCTTTAGATTGTGATATGATTTCCTCATCCTTGAATGTTGAAAGCTCTATTGCTAAAATGTCTAAAATAGAGAAAAATCTTCTTTGTTGTGGCACAAGCGTTTAAGACATATCTCTAAAGAAAGAGTTGAAAGGTTAATTAGAGGTGATATTTTACATTCCTTAGATTTCAATGATTTAGGGACTTATGTGGATTGTATTAGAGAAAAATTTACTAAGACCAATAAGAAAGGTTCAACTAGAAGTTCAAACCTTTTAGGAATTATTCATACAGACATTAGCGAATCCCTTTCTCCCACTATTTCTGTTAATAAATCTTTTATCACTTTTATTGATGATTTTTTTTCCAGTATGTCTATCTCTACTTAATTAAGGAAAAAATAGAAGCACTTGAAAAGTTTAAAATCTTTAAAATTGAAGTTGAAAAGCAACTAGGAAATGTGATAAAAGTGGTGTGTTTTGACTATGGTGGAGAGTATTATGGTAGATATAATTCTAACATATAATGAATTGTAATTGCATCAGATGGATGTTAAGACTGCTTTTCTAAATGGTGATCTTAATGAGGAGGTGTACATGCAGTAGGCTGAGGGTTTTGTGTCACGTAGTAATGAGCATTTGGTTTGTAAATTGAGAAAATCTATTTATGATTTGAAACAAGCTTCTAAACAATGGTACTTGAAATTTGATGATGTGGTGCCTTCATTGGGTTTTGAAGAAAATGAAATTGATCAGTGCATCTATCTTACGGTCAGTGGAAGCAAATTTCTCTTTCTCATGTTGTATGTTGATGATATTTTGCTTTCTAGTAGTGATCTTAGTCTACTTCATGAGACCAAACTTATGCTAACCAAGTTCTTCGATATGAAGGATCTTGGTGAAACATCCTTTGTGTTGGGAATTGAAATACACAGAGATAGATCACGTGGTGTGCTTGGTTTATCACAGAGAGCTTATATTGATAGAGTTCTGAAGAGGTTCAATATGCAGAACTGTAAGCCATGAGATGTTCCAATTACTAAAGGAGACAAATTCAGTAAAGATCAATGTCCTAAAAATGAGATCGAGCTGGAAGAAATGAAGGGGAAAACCCTTTGAAAGTGCATTGGGAAGCCTGATGTATACTCAAGTATGCACTAGACCTGACATTGCTTTCATAGTTGGCGTCTTGGGACGATACCAGTCTAATCATGGGAATGATCATTTGATTTATGTTAAGAAAGTGATGAGATATTTGCAGAGAACTGAAGAGTATATGCTTGTTTTTAGGAGAGTTGACAACTTGGAAATAGTTAGGTATACTAACTCTGATCTTGCTGGGTGTGTTGATGATAGGAAATCTACCTCTGGTTACATTTTTATGTTGGCTAGAGGTACGATATTATGGAAGAGTAAAAAACAAACTCTTCTACTATGCATGCAGAGCTTGTTGCTTATTATGCTGCTGCTGCTCATGCTGCTTGGTTAAGAAATTTAGTGACTGGACTTTGTATTGTTGATTCCATTGCAAAGCCACTAAAACTTTATTGTGATAACAATGCAGTTGTGTTCTACTCTAAGAATAATAAAATTTCTAGCGGTTCTAAGCATTTAGAATTGAAGTATTTGACAGTCGGAGACCTTGCAAAGAAAAATGACATTGTTGTTTAGTACATTGATATTGATTTCATGCTAGCTGATCCCCTAATTAAGGAACTTAGGCCCATTGTGTTCAAAAAACATGTTGAGAGTACGAGCATTGTGAGTTCTTTTGACGTACTTGGTTAGTGGAAGTTTGTTCTTTATGTCATTTTCTTATCATGATTTATTTTATTTTAGACACTTTAAGTGTTGGATTTTTAAGTACTTTCAACTTTAAGCAATTGATATTACAATGAATATTGTTATTATTATTTGTCATTATTTGTTTATAAGTCAATTGTTAAAATTGAGACTCAATGTAATTGGGACCACAATGCCTATGGTCGACACTAGTTTGGATTTCGAGGTATAGTTATAATTTTGAGTTCGGCATCTTCGGGACCACTATACTAGTGGTTGATGTCATATTGGAGCTGAGGTATGATTTTAAACTTGATGTTGTCTGGACCACTGTGCCGGTGGTCGACGCCATATTGAAGCTGATGCATTATGGTTTGTAAAACCATGCAATTTCTTTGACTTTAATGCATTTGAGAGAAATTATTAAGGACTGGCAAATAAAATAGCAGTCGGTTGTTGGATCACATTAACATGCTATTTTCTTGCCACACTCCACACTGATGACTAGTTGACAGAGTCCATAGTATTTGTAACCACATAAGGTTTTATGTCAATGAAAGATATAATAATCGTCGTGATTCAATACTCTTTGACTTTTGTTGGATGGAGTCATATTCAGATACTGCACCTAGAATCATGCATTTTCTTAAAATAAAAATTATACAACTGATTTTGCTCAAGTGGAGAATATTAGATTTATCTAACTTTCTATGGGCTACAATCAATTGTAATTTGTGAAAAACGGATTAATCATGATTCTGATGGGGTGCATATATATGCCCTGTTATTAGTTAAGTGATCTCTTTTATAACTAAAGGTTGAGAATCTGAAGCCTGATTGGTGTGGGTAAAAGTGTGGGCTATAACCTTGAGCCCATAATGGATAGGGACTACAGTTATATATATCATATGGCTAGGTCCTCCCTGTAATCACATGAATCAGAAACATAACTAACGACTCCACAACTTGCCCCAATGAGAGTGGTGAACGAAAGTGTGAGATACAGAGGAAAATCCGGTCATTCATCTTTTCGAAATTCTGAATCATGACTTCAACCAGTATTAATGTTTTAATTTCATATAATTAATTATTGAATATTTCCACTTACAATTTATCAAAAGATCTTTCAAATTCATGTATAAGTTTTCTTTTTTAGACTTTGAGTTTTTTTTTTTAATTAAGATATGATTTATTTACAAGCTTTCTAGATTTTTGAGTTTTTTACCTAAAAAATAACAAAGTGTTTTACAACTTAAAAGCCTAAAAAAAAGGATAAATCCCAGAATTGTTAATTGAAATTAAGTTAAAAGACCGCACAAATATTAGTTGAGTAGTATTTTTTGAAAGTATCATGAGGTGAATTAATATCTACTAGTTGAGTTGAAACTGAAAGAAGATGATAAAGTCTCAAGAGACATAGAAGAAGCAAATTGCATCAATAGAAGCTATAGTGTCTGGCTTTTATTGTATTTCTTTTCATTGTTTTTAGTGGATATTATCCACCCCTTTGATGAACTGCAAAAGAACATGCATCACAGACACTGCAGACTAAAGAAGCATTTATTTGACTGAATAAAATTAAATTTACATCGCAGCTACAGAAAGGGTCCTCTACTCTATATACTCGCGAACCAAATATAACATTACACCAGAAAACCAAAGTGGAAGCGGAGCTTTACGACCTTCGAGCGGTGAAATGGGGTGTTGCATTGCGCAGCAGCATGAGGCAACAGTAGTAGTAGAGAGTGCGCTTAGATGACAGTTCCACTTGGAATTAACGCATCCTTGATTACTGTGACAATACCACTTTTTATGAAATAACCTTCTGTTTCCCTTGCAGCTTCTTGCACATTGTCGCTGTTAACGATCTGTTGAAACCCGGTGTAAGATTTTCAGTAGAAAAACAAGCATGTATTACATTGATTTGAGAGCGACACAATAAGGAAGAAAGCATTAAATAACCTTGACATCGTCACCAATTCTAGCATTCTTGTCAATGATTGCTCTTTTGATATGAGAATTCTTGCCAATACCAATTGGAACACCGCCTTTAGCAGCCAAAAACCTCCTATCAGCATCCGTCTACAGCACAATAATCACAAGACCAATACCAAAGTTAGTACTTCTAGTCAAGCTAAAGTCCAGTATTTAGCAATGTTACCTCATAATAATCTGCTCCCATTAACAAAGTGTCCTCAATGATTGCACCTTCTGATATGCAAGATCGCAGTCCAACGACAGAATGGTGAATTTTGCAGTTCTGTGGAACAAAATATTGAAAATAAGATTTTTTTTTTCAATATGTTAACTAGTCTCATTCTTTAAGATAAGAATGTACAAATATGCATAAGGAAATATATGAAAATTTTGAAAAAGCTTGCCTTAATTACACATCCTTCACCAATAACACTATCCGTGATATCTGCATCAAGCATCTTAGACGGGGGCAAATATCGAGGTTGGGTGTAGATTGGAGATGACCGATCATAGAAACTGCAATCGATGTCCCAACATGAAAAATCTCAAAGACGCTGTTACTATGGTTAAAATAAAGTCTATGGTAGGATGAATTATTTAAAAGCTAACATTAAGTTACCTAAAATCTGGCACAGGCTTTTTGGTGATTCCCAGATTTGCATTATAGAAAGCTTCAATTGTACCAATGTCTTCCCAATATCCATCATATAAATAAGCTTGCACCTGGAATAGGCTGTTATTTTCCGGAAACAACAATGTTTACTACATATTGAACAAGTAGAAGGAATTCTTACTCTCATTCCAAGCTCGGTCGCACCAGGAATAACTTCACTCCCAAAGTCGTTTGCACCAGGAAACTTGTCGCGGAGCAGATCTAGCATCACATGTTTGCTGACAACATATATACCCATGCTAGCAATATAAGGCATTTCCTTAGCTCTCTCGTCATCGAGACCCAAAATAGTAGTGTCAACCTAATAGAGAAAAGATAAGTCATATCATAGCTGAACATTTTAACCAGTTCCATACTAAAGAACAAATAATAACAAAAAATAAGCATATTTTATAGGCTCGCCTTCATAGCTTTCAACTGTTCTCCTTTCGGCTTCTCTGAAAACTCAATTATACGCCCCTCTTCATCAATTTTCATTAGACCGAAAGCAGTGGCACGCGCTTCATCCATTGGCAATGCAGCAACAGTGATATCGGCATCACTTTCCCTGTGTGCTTGTATGAATCTCTCATAATCCATTCGATACAAATGGTCACCAGCCAGAACTAAGTATTCCAAAACATTATGCTCCTCAAAAAGCCATAAATATTGTCTCACCGCATCCGCAGTGCCCTATTACATAGAAAGCAGATATATCAACAACTAACCGTAACGGATCCTAATAAGACCATCAAGTATAGATGAGATGTTTTATTACCTGGAACCAATTTGGATTCTCAGGACTCTGCTGCGCAGCAAGAACCTCAACGAAACCTTCATTTTTGTATCCACCCAAGTTGCTCGCATATGCACGGGACAAGTGTCTATTCAAAGACGCCGAATTGAATTGTGTGAGAACATAGATCTTTGATATGTTGCTATTTAGGCAGTTGCTAACAGGGATATCAATCAATCTATAGTTTGCTCCAAGAGGAACAGCTGGTTTCGCCCGCTTCTTTGTCAATGGATAAAGACGCGTACCAGCACCACCTCCAAGAATAATGCCAAGAACACTCTAAAACATTATCATCAAAGAAAGAAACATTACATTCAATTCACAATGGATCCTACCAAATTCAAATATAGCATATACCCAAGTGCTAAAACATTGAGAAAATAAACAAAAGATTGATTTTTTTTCTGTCTCTTCACTATGCTGAAACCAACAATAGTCAAAGTTAGAAAGAAAGAAAGAAAGAGAAAGAAAAAAGTAAACTCACTCGGCTAGCATCTGGATCAAGACAAGTTTGAGAGTTTTTGGAATCAGAAACGGCCTTGGGAGAAACAATGAAGGGGTTTCTGCCAGAACTTCTTCTTGTTCCTGAAACAGTGAAAATCTTATCACCACAGAGCTGTGATGAAGTGAATGAGAGGTTGCGTGCAATGGCTTTGGATGAAGAAGATGAAGAAGAGGAGGAGGAAGAGGATGGCGGCACTTTGAGAACACCGATCGCAGCCATTGACGCCATATGGCTTTTGGAGGTCTGAACTGACAGTGTCTGGTCTCAAAGACAAGCTCTGCTGCAATGCAAAGACAAAGAAAGAAATCAATGTGTGGCTCTCAATTCCGCTCCTACTTATGTTTTTGCTTCAATTTTTCTTTCTTTTTTTTTTTATTAAAAAACTCTATTTAAAAAATAGATATATTTATGCTCAAACACAGAAAGTAAGTGTTGAAAACCAAGCGGAAATAATCATTCAAAAATTTAGACACATAATTGTGATGATGAGAGTATAAATTCAACTTAACAATATAAACTTTTACAAATTGAATGATAAGGATAATGGATAGGATTTGGATAGGGTATTATAGTATTTGTCTTTATATTTATAATTAAAAAAGATAATTTTATACTCGAATTTATACTTGCTTGAGTATTAATATCGACACTCTTATCTGTATCCTGTAAATGTGTAAGTGCATGTACTCATGTCTATTACTCGCATTCTTTATAAAATTAAAGATATCAAATATAAAATATCATATTATTTAAAGTTTTTAACAATATTAAAAAAAATTTTAAAAATTTATTATTGAATTATAAAATAAAAGATCACTTATATTAAATATGTAATAGTTTAAAATTGATAGACATTTATTTTTATATAATAATATAAATTAAAATATATAAATATATATTATACGGGTATGAGACGGGATGGGTACTGAGATGCTCATTCTCGCACTCATTCCCGCTTATTTAAGTGGATAATTACCCGAATCAGTGTGAGTATTTTTGTGAGTACTATAGACCAAATTACCATCTCTATTCAGTTAGGACTTGCGATGACATATTTTATTGATATCATAAAAACATTTTTTCATATTCTTTTTTTACTTTTAAAATTTATATTAAATTAAGAAATTAATTACTGTGTATTATTAGTGTAAAAAAATTTACACCTTGATTTATCATTAATATCTATTTATTTTAACATCTAATAATTATGATTAAATTGATATTTCAAATTAAATTCTAAAATTAATTGTATGTGTATATTTGTTTTAGAAAAAATATGTGAAATATAATAAATAGTTAAGAATATACTGTGTAAAATTTATTATAATTCATTAGGTAAAAAGCTAAAATAGTCCATTACTATACTTTTGTGAATCTAAATTCTAATTAAATTGATATGCAGTAATTAAAAGAATGAATTAATTATATTTTTATGGTTACCGAGTTTGTGATTAAAAATAGAAATTTCAGCGAAGGGAAAAGTTATATGATATTAAAGTAAGGGGTTGGGGAAAGGACACTGCAGATTGCAATGGGTCACGTGAATGTATCAAGCAATATTTGTCCATTATAGAATAGAATAGAGCTATTTTTGGTTTGTTTTTTTTTTTCAATTCTCAACCGTTCTTTTTTCCTTAAAAATTAGACAGATGGGTTAGATTGCAATTTGCAAAAGCAGAATGGGTGAAGGACGACCGTTCAAAATCTGCCTGTACAAAACAAAGAAACAACACATGAATGTCTCATTTCATTCCACAAATCTTATTAATCAACTAAAAAGTCCATAATTGATTCATTTACGGTATAAGCTATTTCTTTTTTAGCGATCTATCAATTATAAACAAAAAGTGTTAAGTTGTGTAAAAAAAGAAAATAGAGTATTAAAAAGAGTATATATTATTATTTGTTTTTATAATAAAAAAATTTATTTATTTTTTATAATGAGTATATATTAAATGAGTATATAGTATGCAAAGTATTCTTCCATTTAATTAAAAGATGTCAATGGATAATATCCACGTTAGAAAATGTATAAATAATCAATATTTAGTTAGTTTTAAGCCAATATTTCTCCAATTCTTTATGCTATCATATTCAATAACAAACATGATTTCATACAATTTAACTTGAAAGAAAGTGCAAACTCCAATCTTAACTAAAAATGCTCTCAAGAATGTTCATAAATTATTCCTAAATATGTCACCACAAATTGATATTATATGATTTACTCTTGAAACTTCATTCGTGTTACACTTAATTCAATTATGAATAGAAAAACACCAATTATGTTATATGATTCTAAATGCGGGAGGAAGTCGACATTTGATGTCAAAGCATTTAATAAATGTAAACTCATGAATTGAATATTAGTACATGTGCCTCTTGAAATATTTAAATGTCATATAGATCAATTGTTTAACATAGAGAATATCTCTATCAAAGTCAATTTTACCATTTTGAAACTTGATATAATTTCTTGTGTATCAAGTAATGAATTATTATGATTAAATTCATGATCAAATTCTGAATTTGAGAGCTCAAACTTCTACCAGCAAGTTTCAATAAACTTCCGTAACTAGTTATATCAATGTTCATGTCAAATAATCGCTTCATCTAATGCCAAAAAAGTAGAGTGTATATGCATCTAAGAAATAAGTAGTTTACAATTTTCACATCATGATTTTAGATAAAGCACTTTGAAATGATATGCATTCACCTTTGAATCAGGTTGCCTTATGCTGCAATAATATTATGCATTGTTTTCTAAGTCACTAATGATTTAGCAGGTGGTAGGTATGGATGTCAAATGAATTTTGTCCAAGAAGGCTCAATGTGATTCCTCCTCCTGATAAAATCGTAGGAATCTTTAAAAGATAAATTACCATTTGTAGATCCTGTCAAAATGAGTTTATCAATAGTAGTATTGTCAAATGACAAGTTAATATTCAACATGTCTTCAACACTTTGAGGATCCAAAATGGATAAACTTTGAGGAATATTCTAATACATATCTTAAATAATTGAATTAACCTTAACAATTTGTATAAATTGAATATCCATCGAGAATACTAGGAGTAAATCTTAAATTTTGTATCACAACTAATTGTCAATCCATAAATCAATGTTCTTCTCATTACCAACCGGCCATCTATTATATTCCTTCAAAAAGAAAAGGGAGTGCTTAATGTTAGGCCATATTGAAGAAGAAATATGATGCATGATTGGTTTTTTGCGCCTGAAGTATCTACTAATTATCATAAAAGACCTATAAATATTTATAGTCAATAACTTCCAACAAAGAGATAACAACCAACTTTATTTGTTATCTTAACATCTCTAAAACCAAGATCTCCTTTTGACAAAGATCAACATCACCTTTTGACAAAGGTGATAAAATAGTCTTTTAAGATGTAGTAATCAACTTTCTATTGTCTCTGCTACTTGCCCATACAAAATTTATAATGCAAGAATTGAGTTTGTTGATAAGATTGATTGGTCATTCATAAATTCTAAGACTATACAGAAGCATGTCTTATATGACTAACTGGACCAATTGAACTCTACCCATCATAAAAATAAGGTGGCACTTCCAAGTAGCTAGAAATAAGGTGGCACTTCCAAGTAGCTAGCTTGTCCAATCATCAATTATCAGTTGTTTGCATCTATCATTAGATTCCAAACCTCCAAATTTTTGAATGGCCTAACCGAACCAAACTTACATTTGTCACAATGGAGAAGAATATGGTAATGGCCTGAGTGATTCTTGATCAAAGTTGAGCAATTGATTGTGTTCCAATTATCTAGTCAATTGTGATTACAAATGACTTTGTCAATCCTAACATTAGACAAGTACCACCTTTCCTCAAACTGGTCGAGTTGTAATAGATACATTTAGGAAAAATACCCCTTTTCGTCCCTTAACTTTAACTCGGGGTCCAGTTTGGTCTCTTAACTTTAAAAAGTGGCAAGTTAATCCTGTAACTTTTAAAATGGTATCAATTGAGTCTTCATCGTTAGTTGTCCCCAAACGTCCATTCATTTTGTGTGTGTGGCAGATGACTTGGCAAGTTATTTTCTTCATGTTGTTTCCTTCTCCTTCCTCCTCCCATTCCCATACTGCAACTTAAATTATTTTTTTGTTCCTTCCTCCTTCCCAATCCCAAATCTCAAAATTAATCTAGGGTTTTTGTTTTTGGAAAGTATGAAATCTAGTTGTTCGTCCTCCATGTTGAAACAGGAAATTCGAGATTCAGATGTTTGTAGTAGGTCACGATGGAAGCTCATATGCCATTGTGGAGACATGGTTGTTCTTCAAAGGCAACTACTATTAAGAATATGGGAGAACTTTTTTGGGTTTGTCCAAATTATAAGGTATGCAAGCTTTTTGAATTCTATTAATACATTTTGTTTCTGTTTAAGTTTAAATTCATTCTCCATCGTCCTCTAAACAATGAAAATTACAAGGAGGTATGCAAGCTAGGTGTGGTTTCTTTGGTTGGTTTTATAAGGAGGTGAGTGATGAGAAGGAGCAATTATGGATGCATAGGCTGGGTGTGGTAACTAAGGGACTTGCTAAAGAAAAAAAGGACATTGAAAAAGTGACAATGGAGAATGAAGAATTAGAGAAAAAGTTGATGAAACTTGAAAGTGAAATGAAGAATATCATGAAGTGGAAAAAGATTTGAATTTGATGTTTGTGATGACTATCACTATATTAGTTGTTAGAATTAGTTAGGGTATTAAGGTTTGTTTGGAACTAGTATGTTATGGTTTGTTTGTAAGAATTAAGTTATCTTTTGGTTGTAAGAATTAGGTTTAAGTTCAGTTAAAGTTTGTATCAGTTTTGGATTGTATCAGCTCAACATGGATGTAATAGTTGGATTCTAATCCTGCAGTGGATTTTAATTTTACTTTTTGCAGTTCAACATGAATGTATCAGTTTTAGTTTTGGACTATATCAGTTCCACATGAATGTAATAGTTAAAGATTAGCTTGATTTTAACACACAATGATTTATAAGTTCTATTTGGTATGTTTTGTTTTTATGTTAACTTGGTCTGTTATAGACCTGTCAAAGTATTTTGGACTTGGTTTGCATTGTTAAAGATTATTTGTTATGTTCTGTTTTTATGTTTAATTGGTCTGTTATAGACCTATCAAAGTTTGTCTGCATTTTTTACACCACATTATGACAGGTCCATAACATTATGACCTATAAGTTGGTTATG